CTCTTTCCCTGCTCTCTGTGCCGTGTCCCACACCACTGTGGCTGGTTACCTCAGTCTGCACAGTGTTCACAAGAGCTTCTGTTGGCTTTCACAGGGATGCTGGGGCTTGTTGCTCTGCTGGGATGGATCTGGGGGTAGCTGGGGCAGGATATTACTACCATCTGCTGCTCCTCCTCTGTTTTCTCCATGCTCACTAGGCATGCCTCCTGCCCCTGCTGAGAAGACTGATGACTTTTAGCCAAAAAAATTGATATAGAATAGTGTACTATGAAAACTAGGTTCAGGGCTGTTAAGGCAGAATTACTTGCTGCTCCTTGTGGTTTCTCTGTAGAACACTTTGACTCCCAAAGCTATGTTCTGGAGTCCTTTTCACACTCTCCTCAAATGTGAGCACCCTTATAGAAATAACGGTGCTTTGAGGGAGATAAGTTGTGTTTTCTGTTCCGATGAAAAGAGCCATAAACCGTCTCCAGAGAAATGATGCTTTGTCAAAGCATTTCAGAAGGAAGACTTGGTTAGCAGACAGTAACTAACGTTCTGTCAGGAAAGGCTGGTGAGGCACCAGATAAATTTCTTGGAGAGATGGTGGGGATTGCATTGTGGGGCAACGAGAAAGGAAGGATGTACATCTGTCTAGAACGATTAAACAACTGGGTAGTGTCTTGAGACTGCAGTTGGCACTGGTAACCTGGTGTTTAGTAAAGCCTGTGGTAAAAATGCACTTGGACTGGAATGAACAAATTAAGTCAGACCTGTTTTTTTCTCTACTTTTAAAGCTTTATCAGAAGGTGTGAATTAAAAAAGGAAGCATTTTGATAAGCTTTGTCTCCAGGATCTTCAATGGTGATACAGCTAAATTTTACAAAAATCGTCTGAGAAGTAGCTTTTTTGTACTTGAAGGGACTCATAAAATATATGTTAGCAAAAACACTTGTTTCTGCTTTTTCATGAGGCTTTCTGCTGGGAGAGGGAACAAAACTTCCTTCTAGAGTATTCTCACACACAGAATAGCTGATTTCCATTGACTTCTTGGGAAAACCAAGTCAAAAGCAGAAGCAGCAGTATGAGTAGAAACGTGTCAAATTTTCCTGCGTTTTCCACCACTGCCCACCCCATGCGAAGCACTGATGGCTTAGTTTGAAGCCCCACAGACCTCTCTTCTTCTGTACTCTGCTCTGTGGAGAGATCTTCATGGTGAGCAACAATCAGACAATGGTCTCAGATTAGTTAACTGTTAGAAATTTCATTTTCAAGGGGAGAGAAGACAGGATAAATGAGAAGATAGTCCTTCTCTACTTATTCTGTACCTACTTTTTTAAATGGCTGTATTTGAAATGTGCATTTGGCAGAACAATTCTATCTGAGAGCAGCTATTCCCCAGCTGTGCACCTTTTTATTAAATAATGTTTTCAAAGTGAAGGACAGAGTTGAATTTTAACTTAAAATTGAAGTAGTTTCAGTTACTTCTGGTACTTTTGCCTGAAGCTAAGGACTGAGCCCTTGGCAGTTTTGCTGAAGCTTTTGAATTGTAGAGACATTTCTGCAAGTATGACTTTTCATTTAGGGACCCATGCTAAATTTAGGAGTTCATCACTTGTATCTGAGATTTTTGCCTTAAAGATTTTTCAAATACTGAAGAAAAGGTTTAATGGTGGGGAAGCACAGATTCAGCTCCTGGTGACTACTTCTCAGATAAAGTTTCTTTAAGAATCTTGAAGAGACTGTGCTGATGAAGAGAGGTCAGTCTTGGAATGGAATTAGTCTAAAGCTAAGATTGTGATTTCCTCCTCCCCCTTCATTCCCACTCACATTAAAATAACTAGATTCTAATATTCATATTATTGTTACCCTGGAAGCAGAGAAACCTAATTTCAGTGACTTACGTTGTAAAAACAATAAATGTGTTTTACATGTGCAATAAGTACTCGTATTTTTCCTCCTGTTAAGTGTGTTCTCTACAGCTAATGGTCCTTACTTTCAATAGGAGATATGGCTCTACAACCAGCTGAGGATGCCGAAACATTTAATACCATTTCAAATCAGTATCCTGAGATTTATTTTCAACCCTTGATCCTTACAGGTAGGAGATTCATTTCTATTGTAGGAAATGGAGAACAAGGTTCATGGGATGTAAACTTGAACCATCATTTAGCCAGTTTTTAGATTATTTAGTACAAAATGTGAATATATTGTAAAAATGTCTTTTAGAACCTCCCCCAGAGGATCACTTGCTGCAGAATACCTTGTGGCCTGAGATTCAGAAGTTGTAAGTTTTATTTTTCTTTTTTAACGTACAAAATTTTCAGAAAGCTGTTGCAACGTACTAGTATAGTCTGGTCTTGTGACCTCCTATTTTACAGTCTGATTAGACTTTACATGCAGTGCATTGCTTACAGAATAAATTAAATGTACATAAAATTAGGAAACGATGCAGAAGGCAGTTAGAACTGATACGTCGTAAAATGTTATTTTACTGGTTGTTTCTGTACCAGTGAAATATGTATGTCTTAGCACAAACCTGTTCTTTTGAATTTGTAATGACTAGACTCCTTGTTCCAAAAGAATAGTGATGTTTCTGATTCGCTCTAAGGAACTGTGGCACATTTTCATGGTCTTATCTGTGCTCTGGAGCGTGTTGGGCCTCTTCCATGCTTCAGCCTTTAACTCTGTCTTAAAACCTTGTGTGTCCTGAAGGTCTCTCTGCCTGAGGAGTTTTCTACTTCTTTCTGCTTCGTGGCACAGACTTGCAGGTCAAAGTTGTAATTGTGGTCTGGAACTAAAGACTGAGCCGTCAGTTAAGAAGCTTCTCCCTGAAGCTTGATGGAGTTGTAAGATCAGAGTCATGGAATGGTTTGGTTTGGTCGATGCAATAGATGGAAGCAGCAGCCAACATAGGGTGTGTTTAGTCATAGAACAAAGTGGTGAATGTTGGGTAAGATGGTTACAAACCCAGCTTGGGTATCGAACTCTGACAGAGGAGATTGTGAATTGCAAAGATAATAGGGTTGTGTGGTCATGACAATAATTGCTTTGAGGCTGCACATTTTAGAATTCTTCAGCTGTGTTTTGTTCCTTCTTTCCTGAGGGTCGTGACGATTTGCAAAGGAAGATTGTCACCTTATTTGTTTCCTAAGGGTCCGGGTGACATTTGGTTACACTCCTACAATCTTTAAAGTTTTCTTATCAATCTTCAAAGTACAGCACAAAGAAATGAATCATCTTGGGCTCTTACAGGCTTATCCGTCTGAATCTCCTCAAAGAGTGATGCCAGGCAGGAACAATAAGAATGGTGAGCCTTTGCTGGTGATTGCAGTTCCCTTTACACATTGCCAGCTTTGTGACTTCAGGAGGGATGGGGAATAAAAAACTTTGGGAAAACAGTTTTTAGTTTGCTTTCATTTCACCTTCAACTGGGCAGTGAATCTCCTTAGTATGTTTTTAAGCTCTTTTACTGTATTTATACTCGGAAGTGCTTCTAAGGGGAAGCTGGTGGGTATTAGACCATATCTGTACGTTTTGTAATTTCTAGCTGTTACACTCAGTGCTTCTCCTGTGCTTGCTATAGCTGCTAAAGCACTCACTCACATGAGTAGTTTGATGAGGGAACTTTTAACTAGTGAAAAGGTGCCAAGGCCAAAACTTTTCCTCATTTGCCTTTGCAATTTCTTAAAGTCTAGTGAGATATTAATCTTTGATGTTGTACTAGAGGAGTACTGTCTATCTGCTTTTGTATCTTGCATTCATTAAAATAACTGCATTTTATGATGGTCTTCAGGTAACTTAGCTGAGCAATTTTCCTGCTTTTAGAGGCACAGTTAATGACGGGTTCTCTTGTGCAAAGGTAACACGATATAAAGCGTTCATAGACTGTCAGGGTAATCTTGAAATAAGTAACATGAAATCACATAATATAGATTTCAAGTTGCCATAGCAGCAGAAAAACAGTGTGAGGAACTGACTTGCTAAAAATAGCTTGTTTGTCATTGACATTTGTGTATTGCCAGCTGTAACTTGACACTGAATTTTGAAGGATTAGTGCCGGGTTTTGAAAAGTGTTTGCCTGAGTAGGTTTTACTATGAAGAACTTGCTGATTTTTTATTTTTTTTTTACATAATCTAACAACTTTAAAATAAAAATATGATAAATCCTGTCAGAGTATGCTAATCTTTATCCTCTTGGAAAATTATGGTAGAGAGTTTATATGCAGCAGGCTGAGGTTAAAGCCTAAGTGTTGACATGAAAGTACATGTTTATATGTATGTACTTTTCATGTAGTACCCTTGGAAGAAAATTACTGTCATCATTTGTCTGGACACTTTGAAAGTCCTGTCAGTTTACCTGTGCATATAAAATAGCCATGAATTGCACATTGTTTAGGCAAAAATCGCTTGTGCTTGAGAAAGTAATTTCATTATTCATTAATGCAGTTGCTTCTCTCCATTGGTGATGTGCTACATTATGAAGTGCTTTTCAATACAGCATTTAGGAGATAAAAACAAAGTTAACTGAGGGCTTACCTGACAAGTTATTCCACAGGCTCTTTTTCTTTCATTGGATTTCAGAAAACTTATACTTTTTATGGAATAAATAACTTTCAGTTTTAGAAACTTGACTTCCAGTAAACTACTAAAAAATAGTCTCCAGGAATGTGATGTTGAAGTAAGCATTATGACAGAACTCTTGCTGCTGACAGAATAAGGCAAAGACATGTGGCAATACCTTCATCATTGGGAGATACAATGAAATTTGTAAATTAACTAATTTGCAAATTAATATCCCAGTTAAGTGCAGCCACCAGTCCCTCTGCCCCCTGAAGGTCCAGGCATTTTTACTCTTCATGAAAAGGCAGTGCATCCCCAATCTTCAGATGTGAGTGTGAGAGATTATCTATGGGATAATGCCCAGCAGCGATTCTTCTGGACTTTGTTCAACAGATACAGACCATAATTTGTCACTTAAACATGTGACTGTTTTGGCTGCAAGGGAAATCCCCTGAGCATCAGTCCTGTAAAAGAACTTCTTTGTAGCACTGCTGACCAAAGGAGTGACCCATAAGAGAACTGCCCATCTTGTTAGAGCTAGCAATCAAAGGAACCTCCCTGCAACTGGTGTTCAGCTGCTGTTTGTCCACTGTTGTTTATAGATCACCTCTCCAATTTTACTCCCAGTCTGTGTGAGACTGGGTTTGTGTTAGTCTGTGTGGCATTTTGTCTTAATTGTATCCCAGTCCAGATATGTGAACTTGAATTCTAGCAGAACTTTTGTGTAAAGACTGTATTTCTGGTGGAAACTGGAAGGTTTTGGTGTTTTTATTTGTGGTTTTTGTTGTTGTTGTTGTTGTTGGGTGTTTTGTTTGGTTGGGTTTTTTACATTGTTTTCCTTTTTGAACATGATTCTTGTCGTCTGGTCCAGAAATCTTTCAGTGTTTCACGGACAGGCATCCTTTGACTGGGTGTTTGTGGTGTATTGGTGATCTTCAAATATGGGGCTTCTGATTTTTATTGGAAGTGTTAAAATTGCTTTACAAGAAAAGAATACATGAAATGGTGCTTTAGTCTGCTTTGTTACTCATTAGTGTAGCTTCTGCAGTGCTGATGTTTTAGGACTATGGAATGGTCTAGAGGGATCGTTCTGTAGTCAGTTCCAAAATGTGGAAGAATTTACACAGATTTTTTTTATTGAATGCTGAACTTATTTGGGATGCAATACTGCAACAGAGGTGAGAAGTTCCTGGCAGGTGACTTTCATTTTTGAAAGGGGGTTTAAATTAACATAAAACTGTGATGTGTTAAATATCTTTTCACATTTATTTCAGATATGGACATGGTTACGAAATTTTTTGTGTTGCTTGCAATAGCTCAAATACTTTAATTGCCTCAGCATGTAAGGTAAGAAAAGATTCTAGCACCATCTAGTGAAAAGTGCTACTGGATTTCTAGGGCTGTGACAGTAGGAGTCAGAATTCAGCTTGGGCCGAGTGTGGGTTTTTTCATTTAAATGTGCAAGATTCTGTATAGATGACAGTCACCTTGCAAAGCAGAGACTGCAGAGAAGTCATTATTTGTAAATTTTGTATGATTCATTTGAAGACATTAGTAAGATAAATTTTAACAAATATAGGTCTAAAATGTTTTCTTACTCATATATTGTCAACATTAACAGAAAGTAGTGAAACTTCCCAGAGAAAAGCTGATCCTAACTTAATTACAAGCCTTAAAACAAGCCTCCAAACATCTTAGTATTTGAAATGTGTGACTTCTACATTTGCTTTCATTAATTCTCACTGCTATTTTTTTCCATCGATGCAGGCTTCCAAAAAAGAACACGCAGCAATTATCTTGTGGAGCACTACTTCTTGGAAGAAACTGCAGAGTTTGTTATTTCACAATCTGACTGTTACTCAACTGGCATTTTCTCCTAATGACAAATTTTTATTAGCGGTGTCTAGAGACAGGAATTGGTCACTGTGGAGGAAACAAGACTCGTTGGAGTCAGGTAAGATATGTGAAGTGGATCAACATGTTTGAAGACTTCACAGTTTGCTCAATATTTTTGGCTTCAAAGTATTTGAAAGGGAATTCGTAAAGTAGTTTAATGCCCATTTTTCTTACAGCATTTAAGAATTAATAGTTTCGTAGCCTCATGTGACTTTAAGAATTGCAATTAATGTTGTATAGAAAAGCTGGAAAGGGAATTAAAATGCAGAGAGGAATATAATCAGACTGTACAGTTGATGGATTTAAGAAGTCTGATATTTGTCCTTCTGCTTATGATTGTATGTTTCAGAATTTACTGAATTTCAAACTGGTATTCTATCAAGGAAAACCTTCATCTTTGTGTTCTGTGCAGGCAAGGCTGGCAGATTCATGTCCTGCTTAGAGCTGCCTTGTCCCTGTTTGCAGGGCATAACACTTTTGAGGCTCTTGACAGGACTAATCTTGATCTTTGTGGATTTTTGGTAATCCTGCACAATTGATTAATTTGACTAGGACCGGCTCTGTCTGGAAAAAGAGCTGATTGTAAAGATTCAGTTGACTTTCTCATTAAGACTTTGAGCCTTGCAAAATCATGAGAAGATTGCTATCGAACATTTTAATGGATTCCTAGAACAGATGCTTGTGCTGAAAACGTTTATCACTGTACTATTGGCTTAATAGCACATAAACACTACTGGGCTCTCTAGAGTTTTCCTAGAGACTTGGCAGTGAGTTTTGGCCCCTTCAGTGTCTGGTTGTATTCTGGCTTGAGACTTCTGTTCTAAAACTTGGCCTATTGTCCACAGTAGTTACACAATGTTTCGGGCTAAGGAATATGAGTTCTCATAAGAAGTAGAGGAAAATGGCTTTTCATCAGTTCATCAATAACTTTTCTGTCTGCAAAGAACGTCATTGCCAGTGTAAAGCAAAACTGCTGGTATTGGCTTCCTAAGAAGTGGTTATTAAAATTCCGAGCTCCAGAATGACAGCCTTTTCTACTTAGGAGAATCGTTCCCACTTACTGATCTTTTGATCTGATTTATTGCCTGACTGTATACATATTAAAATGACAGCCTATCTCATAGGGAACAGATTAATCTGCATGATTAGATCGCTCTTATCAGTGGGAGCTGTAGTGGAGTTATTGGGGATACTTGTACACATGGTAAACATTGCACTGTAATAGAATTTTTGAAATCAGTGCTCTTATGAAAACTTGTATACAAAGAACCTGGAGGTCTTATACTTGGACTTAAATTCTTCTGAAATGAATCTGTGTGTAAAAGATCAAACTGTTCTTACTGTTCTAGTGCTATAAGGGCTGACTGATATGGTCTTGAACAGGCGCTAATTATCATTGTGATATGTGTTGGAAAAAAAATATGTGATGCTAAGTATTCCTAGTTACTTTAAAGATGAGTGGAATAATGCCTGAGTATTCCTGCAGCAACAATTTCTTTTAATATGTAAAGTAGTTAAAGTAAGGGCTTTCCTCTGTATGTTCTGTTCCAGGGCCAGTCTTCAGCTGCTGTGCATACACAGACAAAAATACAGCTGTTCACAGTCGAATCATTTGGTCTTGTGATTGGACACCAGACAGTAAATATTTTATTACTGGCAGTCGGGACAAAAAGGTAATTTCGAGCTTTTAAAATTTTTCTTATATTAATTATTTTAAATGTATTTTAGATTAGCAAATGTGGTGTTCTAATGAGCCCATATTCTGTAAATACACCAAGAGCTTACTGTGTGTGTTACCACAGAAATCAGTGAGACTTCTGTATGCTCAATAGAGTCCTTGAATATATATGTACAAGACTGGTCTGCCAATTGGATTTTCTCCTTTTTTCATACTGTAAGACAAGCATATGTCACACAAATCTTCTGGGTCTCCAAGTCTTTCTTTAACTTTCATATCAGAAGCTGCTTTTGTTGTTGGTATCTTTAATGAAATTGGACAGGCTGAGAAGTTGAACCTTTGTAGATAGAATATTTTTTTTTACTGTTTTTGGAGTCATCCACTTAGTTTTGCATCTTGGAAGTGTTTTAAATAAGTCATTCCATATGTTTTTGTAAATGTATTTACAGAAAGATTGATGTGAAAGTTCCTAGATGATTCTCATTCTTACAGGTCATTATCTGGGGCCACTGTGATTTATCTCTGACTAGTGAGGAGAATATGTTGGATTCAGTTAAGCCTTGTTCAACAGTGCTGGATGCTGGAGATTCTGTTACTGCTGTCAGTGTCAGCCGTGTGCTTGCTCCTGATGGAAGGTATTGCTGTTTTTCTGTAAAACCATTTTGTCTTTAATTTGAAATCAGAATTTCCCCCATTTAGTCACTTTTCTGTGGCTAAACAGCTCGTAAAATCTACCTGTTAAATATTTTGACCATTCTTTGACTGAATGGCCTCTACTTGTTTTTCTCTCCCAGCTTTCTTTTCAGTTGTATGGTGACTTCTCCAAAGTGTAACAAGAAAAAAAAGGCAGGGGGGGAAGGAGGGCATCAACACACCTGTTCTTCCAACAATATTTTCTGATCTAATGTTCTAACCTTGTTATTTTTTTCATAACCAAATATATTTTTCAGCTTTCTGCTTTACCTGTGTTTTTATGAAGAAACTTTGATATAAATTTTGGGAGGTTTATTTTTTATTTACTTTTTATGGAAAAATAAATATTATATTTGAAGGGCAAGTTGTGCACGAAAGTTGTGCAGCTAGTTCCTTCTAGCCTGTGGTAAAGACAACTTCACGGAGCTGCCTGCTTGATCGCTTTCTGAGCTAATGCTTTTATTCTCTTGACAGATACATTGTTGCAGTAGGGTTAGAGAGTGGGAAGATTATTTTGTACACGTGGAAGCAGAGCGGGCAAGAACCAGCAGTAGCTGATTGGACCACGTGTGTTGAGCTGGATAACAGGTGTGTATTTTGAAGTTAGGAGCAAGGAAATGCTATTCATGGGACTGATAGTGTTGGATTTCTGTTCTTAGAGTATAAAATGACAGGAAGGTGGTTTATTTGTATCTCAATATTGTTATTCTTTGGCACTGCTATAGAAAAAAAAGTTTCCTTTAGCCATAAAGTAAGATGATGGAAAACACTGAAGGAGGGGAAGAATCATTGTCTATATATATCATCAAAACATTGTGGAGTAGATGACAGTAAGCTTTCAAGAGCAGCTTCTAGGAGAAACCAAAGGAGTGACGAGCTGTATGTGGTGCTGCTGCAGTGACAGCTAGAGAAACTCTCTGTAGAGACTTTGAACATTTTGCTTGGAAGCACTCTCCTAGATTCTTCTTTCACATACTGCCATCGGTGGTATTGGAAATGAAAGTTGGTGGTGACTTCGGCCTGTGTTTGCTTGAAGTGAATTGGAAAGAGACACCAGATAACAGGAAATCGCAGGCTAAAAGGCAGAAATCTGTAATATCTCACTAACTGAGATGCTAGACCTGCAGCTTAATGTGGTAAAACTTGAAATCAATAGCTGTTTAAATTATTGATGAGTGAGAGGATAAAATGTCATTAGTGTTAATGGCCCTAATACCTGCTGTTTGTCGCAAGTCAGTTTTTCCTCAGCTGGTAATGTTGACAGAAGAGTGCTAATTATATAAATGTTGATGTTTACACTCAAATGCCTAACTGTGTCTGACATTTTGCAGTTATGTATGGATTTCTTTTTGTTGCAGCCAAAGTCATGCTCTTGCTGTGAAACATTTGTGTTGGAGACATCATGCAGGCAGAGCTGGACATAATGACGAGAGCAGCAGTGAGTGGTTGCAGCTTGCGAGTTGTGGAGCCGATCACTGTGTTAAGATATTCAATGTCAACAGATCTGCTCTTTAGCAGAGACAGCAGGCCTGCCTGTGCAAAACAGATTGACCACATTTTGTTTCAGCTTTTAGCCTTTTTGATTGTTGGATTTTGTGTTTTCTGCTGTGGAAAGCAAAATATCTGACATGTAACTTATTAAAGCAACTTTTGTGATAGTTTGAAATGTCAAATATTTTTCTAATTCTGCAGTTCCAGGAATATGGAGCATTTTATATGTTTTAGTTGGTGAATGTCTTGTAACTGAGGGATGGGAGGTGTGGAGTAGGGCATGGGAGAGGGATAATGAGACAGCTTTGTTCACTGTGACTCCAAGGGTAGGTGGGAAGCTGCCACTATGTGAGTTCTTCAGTGCTTGGGGTTGCAAATGGAGTACTGAGTTGTTTTGAAATCCTTATTCCTCTTAAACTTGGCTGTCAGTTTACCTTCTGGTGCTGACACTGCATGTTTAAACATGTGCAGTTAACCAGAGTGAAATAATACAGCTTTCTCTGATTGCCTTCTGAATGTGTGTCACAGCCCTGGTCCAAGTCTTAGACTGCCTTACTTCAGAAGGAGTAGTTGGTGTCTGTGTGCTTGGATGGGCCTGTTTGTCTGTTTTTCCTGCCTATTTTCCACTTTCTTCTGCTGTGCAGAGTGCTGGCCTCATGCTTCTTGGTCATGCAGGGCTTACAGCATGGCTTGTGGACCACCTAAATCTTCTGGTATCTCCTCTGTGTACCTGTGAGCCCTTCCTGAGCAAAGCGCTGTAGAAGAGCCACTCCTCGCTCTGCCTGAGGGCTGTCCTCTGCAGTTTGGGCTGGAAAAGTTGGCAAAAACTGGTAGGCAGGAGCTTGAAAGGGGATGATCGTTCTGTATACTGCCTTTGGGTCTTCCTAGACTTTGAGTGCTCCTTACCTACTCTGCTGAAAAGTTGAAGCACTAAATTTATTTGTCTGATTGTCTTGTAATTTAAATATAATAATAGACTTCGGCAGGTCTCCCAGTTCCAAAGTCTAATCAGTTAAACTTTGAGAGTGAAACTATTTTTGTTCCAGAGCCACTTGCTACCCAAATTGATAGTGCAGAAGTAATTGGAATTGTGCTTGACTTTTTATTGTGTTGCATCTGTAGATAAAGAACAGAGTGGGCCAAGCTTTTTTCAGAATAATTGTGGTTTATGTTTCAAAGATTTTAGATTTTAACTTTTTATTTTCAGTTCTGATTTTCAGCATTAAAAAAATCATTCTTTAAAATGACTTATGGGAATAAAAACCTGACTTAATAAAGATACTTAGCTATGTTTTACTTGTAGTTCCCATACTTGAGAAGCATATTTTACTTGTCTGGGAATTTTTAAAGAGCCATAGGACTGTGTCCTGGCAAAAGAAAGACAAAACTTAGCACTCATGGGGCTTCAGAAAGTTGTCAAAGGTGGAAATTCATTCTGTCACAAGTGTAATTTGGTATCTTACCTGCAATTCAATGATTATGCTGGATAGTACTTTCCAGTACTAGTACATCTTGCCACCCAGCCTCTCTTGCCTATAGGCAAAAGTAAAAGGTCGTATTGTCCTTTTATTTTGTGAAATGTTGTCATTAAATGACCATCAGCTATTACGTGGTTTAGTAATCTGTTCTATTTCCCTGGGACTTGTATGACTCAATCACATTGAAGAATATACCTCATTGTTTCAACTTTAAATACATCAGATTAGTCTGTTGATCTCCTCAGTCTAAGTGTTTGTAATAGACACTTTATTCCATGTGTTTCTGTATATATTTACTCAGATACTCTATTTATTTGTTAAAAATAGTGCATATATTCATGTACTTTTTCATACATGAGTAAAATAAAATTTTGACTTCTGTCATATTTACCTGACTGACTTAACCATAGTCATTTACCTACCAAGACATCTGACTGCTATATGCATCCATCTTTATTTCTGCTTTTTCTTTTACGCTTCCCTGGTGCTCAGTCATTGCTCTTCTTTTGTGAAGTGCCATACCTTTGTTCTTGTGTACCCTTTTTTTTATTTTTTTTCTTTTTTTGTTTATTTATTTATTTATTTATTTATGGAATTTTTTTTTATTTTTGGTGGGAGTTTTTGTTTCTTTTTATTTGGCGGGGAGTATTTTTTTTTTTTTCCCCTAATGGCCTCTTCGTTTCTGTTGCTGGTTTTGTTGAGAGCAGTGTGTTTATTTTAAACCTCTGTGATCTGGCAGGATACAAAGCTGATGTAGCATCCCCTATCAACTGAGGTTCTGCACAGTGCTATTTATGCTTTACTTCCCAGGTGTTTGTTAACCAACCTTTGCACCTAAAGAGCACAGATCTGGGTCTACACAGGTTTCAAGAATGAGGCTGCTCAGCTCCTCTGCAGCCCTCAAGTACGGCTGTTGCAAGTAGCGTGGGTTGGTTGATGTATGAGCTCACGTACCTTACCCCTAAATAATAGCATACATTTTATATCAAATGCTGTCATAAGCAGATGAAGCCTTGTTTCCTTCGGATTTGAGCCCTTTGCAGATTGTGAGTTTTCATTAGTTTTCCTGTGTTTAGTTAGTTTTTACAGCTTTTATATGTGAATTTTCATCTCCAGCCTCTGAGCTCAAGGTGCACCTTTAAAAGCAATTTGTTGTTTTGTCCATATGGTTGCCATTGGAAAGTATTACAATAGTGGTACTAGATTTTGCCCCAAAAATCTCATTCCAGGAAGCAAATTTCTTTCTAAATGCCAATTGGTGGGTAAGTTTCAAAATGTTCTTATTTTTTCATTTTAAAGTATAAGGTGTTGCATCTTCTGCATGAACTGTAGTCGTAAAGATATTTCAGAAGTGTATAGTTATCCCAGTTTGAAACTCAGTGTCACCTGCTTTCAAAAACTACACACCATAGTGTTTATTTCCACTCAAATTTTTATTGTAAAGTTATATTATACCTGATTCAAAGGCAATGTAAATAAACTTGCTGTCAGCCTCTCCAAGGTGTCCCATTCAAGAACACCGAGGAAAATGCACCGTTAGGAAGGAAAGTGTCACATTCTGCAAGGGGAGATCTCGAATCTGGCATCTCCATGTGGACAAAAACAAGAGTCTATTCATCACAGAGCAAGGATGTTTAAAGACTTTTTCAAGCTTACAAATTAAGGAGCTAGGATACAGGAAAGACAATGAGGCTTCTTCTATTGTTTTAGTGAATGTGTGAGAGCCCTTACAAATCTGCTACTGAAAGTGAAACTCTAGAATTAAGATCAAAACTTACTTGGCTAGTGTCAAGTCTTTTAACTGAATGATATTTTTTTAACTGATTATAAAACATGCAGTAGAAAGAAGTGTAATAAACTGTAGTCTTTTGGACTATTCTGAAATAATGCTTTCAGAAATGAGCTGTTAGGAATGTATGTGGTGCTCTGAAATTCTCTGCTAATTGTACCGTGCCATTGAATGGGGTTGAGAAAACTGATGGTGTAAATGAAAGTTTTGCAAAGAATATTCTAGCACCTTTTGATATATTTAAGGTAAAGCCAGTCTGTGAATATTTTGGGTGCATACTATTAAAAGTATTTTACTGGCCTTATGCTTGTGTTGAGGAGGTTTCATGGCCAAGGATATGAACAAACTGTTTTACATTGTCAGACTTAAAGGGGTAGGATTGTCTTTTCTTATGCTAGAGGCATCTGTGAAGACGCAGGCAAGAAATGGCATGGCTCCTGTATATAATCTGAGATCTGTCACCAAAACCCAATGGTTATTGAGATTAAAATTTGTCAGTCCAGGCTGTAGGCATCCTCAAGTCTGTGTTGGACTGAAAAGGTGTGCTAACACTGGCTTTAGTGGGAAGGGTACTGTGGAGTCTGAACAAAGCTGACAAACAGCTTCTGTAAACTGGGAGAATGAGAGATACTGACATCTACCCCTAGCAACACCTGCCTGGGCTCCACATGGCAGGACTTCTCAACACTGCTGCCAGGGGTGAGCTCTCAATTGGGCCTTTTTCTTTTTTTCAGCTATGTCATGGGAAGGAAGCAACAGGTTCCATGTCGTGCTAAGCCTTAAAAAATAAAAAGTATATTCTTCTGCTGTCATTTGCCTTGTGGTCTATGACTTCAGAAGTAACTAGAGGCTGGTCAAAATTTTAAGGAAGTATTGAACTCTCACCTATTGAAAACATCACTTTGGCAACTCTGAGTAATCTCTGTTTTCCCAAATATTTGATGGGAATAAATGAGAATGCTCCAAGGCTCACTGCTGATTGCAGCTATTGCAGAGATGAGGGAAGAGGAGGAAGCAGCTGTGTCCTCTTTTAGACTCAAATCTCAGTTTAAAGAAGTGGCTGTTGCAAATAAGGAAACTTCTAAAATAACTGAAATGGGCAGCAAAAATAATTGCTTGCTCTGTTTTAAGAATCATCTGGAGCTGTACAAAGGATAAGACAAAATCTCTGACACAACAAAAATAAGAATTTGTCTTTAGCGCATTAGGAAGCTATTGGTAGTGGGAGTTGTTGAGCCCAGTTTAGCAATGCTCTACTACTGCGTTTTTACCAGCGATACTTTGTCAGGTCTTACAGTGATGGTTTTGACGTGGCAGGACGTGGCTTTCCGAGTCCTTGACTCTCCAACCATTCGCAGGCTTTTGCTGTGTACCAGCACGTCTTCATACAGTTGTGGGACCTTCCCTCAGCCTCTCCTCTCCCCCAGTCAGGGGCTGCCTTTGCGTCTGTGCCAAGCACCATGTTCCTCTTATCCTGTTCTGCATTTTCTGGTAGAAGGCCTGGAGGGCTATGGGCTCCCTTTGCCAGTCCCTGATGCTCACCCTCAGGCACAGCTCCTGCTCTTAACCAGCTCTGGTGACTGTGCTCAGTGGTGCTTTCAAACTTTGCTAGCATCATCATTTGATTTTTCTGCAGTAACTCATCTATGCTGTAATGCAGCACTAAAACAAAATGATCGCTCGCTCTTTCTGGAAGGAATTTGTAGAGCAGACCGTACACCAAAGCCTGATGCTGTACTGTAATACTGGGGCTCGCTCCAGTACCCTGGGGTAGCTGTGCCAACCAGGCCTGCCCTGGGCTTGAAGTCCTCTAAGAGAGTGGCTCCATGTAATTGGTGTTTGTGTGATTCAGCCAACATTACTGCTGTACAGACAGGAGGAGAGGAGGTGTTATGCCCAAGAGAATTGCCATGTT